TAACACCATACTATTGTAGTATAATTTCCATTAAGTCATCAGTGATCTTACATGCAAATGTATGTTTTTTACACAGTGCCCCCATCGCCATATTTTTGCAAATCACTGTCAGGGCATAAACAGAATCCAGGGACTAGAGACAGTGGTTGCAGTGTAAACAACACAATTTTTTTAATAGTGCATTAACCAGAACCCAGCGGGGGAAGGTGAAGGCAGGGTCTCTGCCACCAAAAGGCGCAGGGCAGCATTAAGGTGTGGAAGCGGCCAGGGGGAGGGGCCGTAGGAGCCCTTGGTGTGTCTTTGTCTGTCAGTTGAACTCTGTCAGTTCATGTGGGCCTCAAACTGCATGTTCTGCACATGTGTAACTCACTGTGTGTGCAGAGGTCACTGTGTAAAGGTCACGGTGCTCAGAGCTGGTAGCGCAGTAAGCCTGCTTCTTAGTGCTGTTCTTAATCCTGCCCTCCAGTGGCGCTCCCATGAAAGTGTCACACCGGCCCCCCACCCTCAGTAAAGACTCTCCCTCCCTATTCACTCACCTGTAACTACACCCCTGCTGTGAGGACTGAGCATGTGTGTGTTTTCCATACAGGGGGGGTGACACAGTCTCATGATACCACATGTACTGTATAAATTCCCCTCAAAGAACCACAAGCTGGTCACTGTGTTCAGGTGACTTTCATTCTGTCTTTGAATTAATGGTAAGATGAGCTACATTCCTTATTTTATTAAAACTGCACTGTACTAAAATGCTACAGAACTGAAAAATCTATATTTCTAGCATTAAACTATGTTATTATTGTATTTATTATATTTCTACTCAGTTCATAATGTTATGAGCTTATATGCATGCAAATAACTGGTGTAATTATTGATCATTTTACTATTATTATTATTTTTATTATACTTAGTCAGAAGAAGAAGGACAAAGACTTTGAGAACAGTTTGTATGTTCTTCTCTTTCCGCATGTCAGACAGCAGGTGCCTGGGCCCGATGAGATGAACTTCTCAGTCGAAACAAACACGTCCATCGTCCTGCTGAGGGAGTCTTTAAAATCAGCGCTGACCAGGAACATCATCGTTGTGACGCTCTGCATCATCATCAGCTACATCAACGGTGTCATGGTCCACACCTTCCTAAGACACGAGATCTTAAACGAGGACCCGCGATACATGCTCTTCATCCACATGGTGTTTAACGACATAATACAGCTGACGATTGCAGTTATGCTTCACGTTTTCAGCTATGTCTTCTACACCATCAACATGTCCTTCTGCTGCCTCCTATTGATGATCGCCATCTTCTGCACTCAGAGCACTCCTCTGTATTTAGCCAGTATGGCTATCGAGTGCTACATCGCCGTCTGTTACCCCTTACGACACGCCCAGATCTGCACTGTCAGAAGAACCTATGTCCTAATTGCTCTCATCTGCACATTGGGTGCCCTTCCTGTTCTGCCAGACCTCATTGTTCTACTGGCTATGGATCCACTGAATTTCTTCCATTCCACAGTTCTCTGCATCCGTGAGACTGTCTTCAAACATCCCATTTTGCAGAAGAAGAAGAAGGAGATTATAGACATGCTGTTCCTGGTGTCTGTTTGGTGTATCCTGATCTACTCATACCTGAGGATCGTCATGGCAGCGAAGGCGGCGAAGTCAGATAGTCAAAAGGCTCGGAACACTATCATCCTGCATGCTGTGCAGCTTTTGATGTCAATGCTGACCTACTTAGCCACAACAATTAATAATGCCCTGTTGTACACGTTCCCTAAGTACATTCTAGAGGTGAAGTTCACAACCTACCTGATAGTTCAGATTTTGCCAAGATTTTTCAGTCCATTTATCTATGGTGTTAGAGACCAAACTTTCCGTAAGTATCTAAGGAAATACTTGTGTAACATAACTGTCCATAATAGGGATGTATCCAGATAAATTTGACTTAATCCTGCCAAAGGTCTGAGCGGAAAAGCAGACGAGGGGAGCCGTGAATACGGGTAAACGGGATTTTAATAAACTAAATACACAAGACAGGCAGAAAACAACAGGCAACGGGTGATCACAATTGGGGTAGCACGCGTAGGTAATGAGGGGGCGTGGCACACACGAGGATCGTACGAGCCGGGCGTGACAATACTCCTTCAAGACTCCCAATTAATAATAAACACAAAGAAGAGAGTTACAGCGCTTACAGAGCTTACAGTGCTGATTCCGATTGCTAAAGTTGATGAAGTGCAAAAATAAGCGAAACAAAAAAATATGACAAGCAAAAAACTATTAAAAAGAATTATATTCACTCCCATGGCAAGCTGAAAAAAAAA